GGATGTGGCGGAAGACGAAACTTGAAATTCACTATAGCATATATAGAGATAGCCTTCATGCTTTCAGTGTGGAACTAGACACAGCTAGACAGACCTTCTCAAACCTTATAAACAGTAACTTAAACAACACTCGCACTCTTTTTGCTACTGTTGAGAGACTGACAAACTGACTATGTCTGTTTTCGAAGCAATTGATAGCAACATTTTAGAAGAAATAGTAAAGCAGCTTAAGCTGCTGTGTTGACACACTTCCCACATCTTTTTTTTTTAAGTCTGCCACGCCCCCCTAAAACGGCTCGTTCTAACACGCCCCCACATATCTACCTCACTATGTAGTTAGTTAGTGTTGAAGCAGCCATGTCAGGGAGACGCTGTGTGTTTCTAGGCGAAAGCAAAAGCACTTTATTTGACCTTCCGAAAGTAGATGCATTTAGGAATCTTTAAGATTACTTACAACAGAACAGCAATGCATTTTATGGACGACCGTTTCGTGAACCTAGGAGAGGAGGTAATTCTGACTTTGCCATGACAATCTGGCGCTTCTGAATCAGCTACTGTTTTGTTATTAGTTTAAGTATTTGCTACTGACTGTTCAAATGCGGAGTTTTGTCGCACCGTGTGTGTGTGTGTGTGTGTGTGTGAGAGAGAGAGAGAGAGAGAGAGAGAGAGAGACGGAGAGAGAGAGAAAGTGAAAGTGAGTGAGTGAGCTGTCTTAACCGTGGCTTGTGTACTTCACACATACCAGCCGTTATATTTCCGACGAGTGCTTGTGGTGTTCGGCCAATCAAAATGCATTGGGTCAGCTGGCCAATCAGAGCAGACTGCGCTTGTCGGAAGGAGGGACTTTGTAGAAAACGAAGCGTTTGAGAGAGGCGGGGCGTAGGGGACCTGCAATAATTGTCAGTATTTTAAAATAATGTGTTTTTTGAACATTAAAGCATGTCAACATATTCTGTTACACCAAATACACAAAATAATGATCTTTAAAAAAGCATCATATGACCCCTTTAATAACATCATATTAAGCAACTATAGACCAATATCAAATCTTCCTTTTATAGGCAAGATTGTTGAAAAGGTAGTTTTTAATCAGCTGAACAACTACTTAAACTCAAATGAATACCTGGACAATTTTCAATCTGGTTTCCAATAGGGCTGTGTGATATGGACAACAAAAAACGTGATTTCTTTGATCAGTTTTGCTATTTCGATTTTAATCACGATTTTGACACACAGACATGCTTTACAATTAACATGTCTCTAGAACAGACATAAGGCAAAATAATCACTAAGTAAAGGTGTAACAAAATGTCTCTGGCAGAAAAAAAAAGTCCATGGATTTTTTTTGCAATGCATTGGTCATAGAGCTCTTTGTGGTGTTGCCTCAGATGTTGAACTAGATTTGTTGCGCCAAGTTCACACGTACTCCGTTTGCAGTGCATATACAGTATGTGTATGCAGTGCAGAAGCAGCACGGACTCATTTTGCTTTCGCACAGGATGCGTTTGCAGTCCGCTCCTGATCCGCGGCTGTTTACCACAAACACAACATTTATCCATTATTTTGATTTCAAATCCAAACGTTGTTTGTGAAAATGCTTTTTCAGCATTGTGATTCTCTTTTATCACAGTACAGTAATACAATCTTTCATAGACATATTCACATTTAAACTCAATAAATATAACTTTGTTTTACCATCACCACGAATGCCATCTACTATTGCCTTGTTTATCTAAAAGTGCACTTAAGCAATTTGGAAACAGGACTGAGGGAAATGTGGATTACAGAATTTTCATTTTTGGGTGAACTATCCCTTTAAGGTGTAGATACTTGTTTGTGATCAATAGGACCCAATGGGGACAATTAACAGTTTTATCAATGGGCCCAACCGATCATCCCATCCTTATTATTGAGTCCTTCAAGCTCTCCACAGATGAGAGAAATAGCATTTACTTGTGTAGGCTCTTGAGAATGGATATATTGGATCTTTGACAGATTAAAACAGTAAAAAAGCAAGTGAGAGTAAATATGTTTAACAAAAAGAATGTGAACAATTGATGTACTTTGCTGCATTTGCTGCAACTCCTTTTAGTCATTGGTGAGTTTCATGCTTTTCAGGGGCCAAATGATCTCAGCCGAGGACTGCGAGTTCATTAAGAAGTTTGAGATTGCCGGGTCTGAGGACAAGCAAGCAATTCTGACAAAAGAAGGACATCAGGTGGATATGAAATGCTTCTAATATTAGTTTTGCCCCTACTAAACTTTTAAATAATTAGTTTAAAAGAAGAAATGTACCACATTAATTTAACATAAGAGAGCTAGATCATTACCTGTGTTTTTAGGCTTACAAGTTGTATTTCTATTGAAGTCTGTACATTTAACTAATTTTTCTTACATATTTCGTTGTAGTGTGCAAAGACCTTCCTCAACCTTATGGCTCATATATCTAAAGAGCAAACAGTTCAGTACATCCTAACCCTGATTGATGACACACTGCAGGTAAAAACACACACCATTTCAGAGACAAAAAAAGTCCAAATCTAATGTCTGTTTTCGCATTGCCTGTCACACTTAAAACTTCAGAGTGTTCATTTATAAGGCATAAACTGACCCCGTTATTATCTCTGTTGAAAGGTGTATAGTATATTGAAATGAAAAATGCGGACAGTTACATGAATATTACTATGACATTTGCTTTTTGTCTCTTCACAGCCTTGGTCTTGCCAATGTTCAAAACAGAAAAATGTCACGTCCTCAAACTGGTTTTGATTCATAATGTCACTGTCATTGGCCTAGATACAGATTGATGCTCTGTTTCGCTGTATAGTTTGTCAATATGATCTTTTAAGTTTGTGCTGATAGATGACCTTCATAAAACCCACTTTCAATTGCTTTTATGGAGTCTGTGGTTCTGTGTACATAGTCTATACTGAGTATTTCTGTATTCATTCAGTGACTTGTCCCCTCACAGCTCATTTAGCCTATGCCTCTATGATAAAATCTTCTATTCATATGCAAAGTGGGTATAATTTTAAAACAAAGATAAACAGGCTCATCTTTCTATTTTAAAAATCTTTTCATTTTATAAATGTGTCTCTGGGGAAGTATCATGTGCATTATGTGTAGGGTGTATTAAGTATTTTTCAAGGATGCAACAATGCTACCAAGTATAGCTCATGTTGTAGTGGTGATGAAATGGAAGTACTTCACCCTTGCAGATATAGTCACTGACTTTTTTAATGTCCATTTGTGGAAAGCTTTTAACTATATATCAGACAATGTGTCTGGTCGTAATTTTTCTATAATCACCCAGCTTTTCTTATCAGTTTATTTTATGTTGCAATAATGGGTCTTCTGCTCTACTATGCAGGAAAATCACCAGAGAGTCAATATCTTCTTTGATTATGCCAAGAAGACTAAGAATACAGCCTGGTCATATTTCCTCCCAATGCTGAACCGTCAAGACCTCTTTACTGTTCACATGGTAAGTTGCTATCAGGCAAAAAATAGATAAATCTCTATAATATACACTACTGTTCAAAAGTTTGGGGTCTTTAAGATTCTTTTTTTTTTTTTAAATGTATACTTTTATTCAGCAATAATGCATTCAATCAATCAATTGTGAAAGTAGTAAAGACGTTTGCAATGTTACAGAAGATTTATATTTATTACTGTTCACATGGTAAGTTGCTATCAGGCAAAAAATAGATAAATCTCTATAATATACACTACTGTTCAAAAGTTTGGGGTCTTTAAGATTCTTTTTTTTTTTTAAATCTATACTTTTATTCAGCAATAATGCATTCAATCAATCAATTGTGAAAGTAGTAAAGACGTTTGCAATGTTACAGAAGATTTATATTTTAAAAAATTGCTTTTCGGCTTTCTATTCACCAAATAATCCTGTCAGAGCTTTCACAAAGATATAAAACACCACAACCATTTTTAACATTAATAGTAAGAAGAAAGTTTCTTCTTTTTTTAAAACATATTAATGGCTAAAGTCTGATTATACTGTATTCAGCACAAACTGTGCTACAATAATATGCGAGCAGCATGAAAGTACATGTTTGTGTTTTTGAGAAAACAATGTTTATGCGTGGTTAGTGGAAAAGCTAAATGTTTAAGTCACTGAAATAAGGCCATAAAACACATAAAATATATTTGTTCACAAGACTTTTGAGAACTGGATGTGGTAGACTAGAGTTTTTGCTACAAAATGATGTGAAAATTATCCTGTTCACTCATTTACAGAAAACAATATATTGATTTAACATTTGTAAAACCCGTTTTGTGATAGAATGCCCTTATGGGAGGGAGTGACAATGGCCATGAATATTTAGTGATTCAAAGACAAAGAGCCTCCCATAATGGGCCATCAATATGAATGTGACTGAGGCAGGTAAAAAAAAGAGTGTGAGTAGAGTAAAATATTGTGGGTTTTGATTATTATTTGTATTTTATTTGCAATACAGTATTAAAAAAATATACACAGTGAAGGTCAAGGACACATGATTGAACATACTGATCTGAACACTGAGACTTGAACAGTAACACACCTTTGTGCCAAACATTCATTCATAATGTTAACACTGACACTACTTTTATATCTTGTGGTTTTATATGTTATAAAACATTAAACAAACATCCTGGCGTTGTGAGACATTTAGACAATGAAATGACACATATTTCAAAATGTTTCACTTGATTTCATACATGTAGTCAGGAATTATATTTTGGGGAAAAGTCTAACTAGTAAAATGTGTACAAGTTATGTCACAATAACTACAGATGCAAGTAATCTTAGGCTACTCATCAGAGTGATATCCTCCACTGGATCCAGCTGCTTGACGCATCGCGTTGTGTTCTTCTTCTTTGGAGGTAAATTCATCTAATGGTGTGTTCACACCAGACGCGAAGCGAATATGCGCATATGCGTGTCACTTGCGTAAATAAAAACAGCGCGATCAACCATGGCAGAGATAACTACAATCGCTGTTTTGTACCTGTTGTCAAAAAGTCCCAAATACAATGGAAAGCCAAACGCTGATGTGTCTGGGTTCACAGCACCATCCAGAGGAGGATGAATAACGTTAGGATCCTGTATTAATGTATGTGTTACATTTTACTACTGTATATATACACTGATAATACTATTATTTGTATTATTGATAAGCAGCATCTCTGTAGCCATGCTAATAAAATACAACTGCTACTACAACTGATTTTAATTGTTTTCAATGCTCCAGACCTATATAATAACAGACAGCTGCAATAATGCTTTCTTCTATTGTCTGATTCAACTGGACGTGTCAAGAAACTCTTCGCTGATTGGCTTGTGCGAGAACGCGTCATGCGAATTTTCCGTTAGAGTTGAAATTTTTTAACTTGCGCGAAAGACGCGATTGAGGCGAATATCGTGCTTTCGCGGCAAATGCGTCGTGCATTTCGCGACATTCCCGTCGCCTAGTGCGAATTCGCCTCTATTCGCGTCTTTGCGTTGACTTTGTATGTAAGCTACTTGTGTGAATAATTATATATATATATATATATATATATATATATATATATATATTTCTCATGTCTTTGAGGCAAGTATTCATTGGGATTCAGGTTGTTTTATTTACGTGTCTGTGAAGAGAGGTGACCGAGACCAAGACGGCAGAGAACGCACCCTGTTATTTTCTTTATTTTACAAAAGCACATTGTTTTGTTGTTATTATGACTATACACAAATAAAAGTAGACCCTTTGCCGTTTCAAATGATGCCTTATTCTTATCTGTACGATCAAAACTGACAAGAGTATTTTTAGTTCTTTTTGCAGTCATAAAGAAAATACGAGACAGACCGCATCAGTGTGGGCTTCGACCCCAGAGGGTTAAATAGGAAACAGTTGTTTTAATTATTGTAATAATATAATATTACATATTTTCATACAAAACTTATAACAGCCATACTAGGCAGAAAGTGCTTTATTACAATTATGAGCTAAAAATAATTACAATATTCCTTAAATGTTATTTGTTATAGAAGTGAAATTAATTTAATGTATTTTAAGAAGCTCATTTGAGAGGAGAAGCTCCTATTTTCTTCTCTAAAATAATAGTAATTTTAACTACACACATAAGAGCTTAAATTTGGCAATTAAATTTCAGGAGTGTGCAGGTGGTGTTTACTGATGGTTCAACTACATTTACGTAACAAAGTCACCGTGAAATATGAACCAATATCTCACAATCCGTTTCTCCTGGAAGAAAAATGTTACTGAACAAAGTTAGCTTATCCTCCCATCTCTCTATAATTACTTGGGAATGATGTCAGTTCCTAAACAGAAATATAGCAAGTTTCCAGAGTTGTCCACATTCTTCCACACAGTATTCTGCTTACTATAAAATAGCATTGTGTTTTGTTCTTAAAAGCAGTAAATTACGGTTATTATTATTATTTTTTCAACTTTGACTTGTTTTATTCAACAGTGCTAGATTATATTGAGCTTACATTCATGGCTAGTTCTAAACCTTTGTTTTGAGAGCCTATAGTTTGTATGGGGTCTATCAATAATTCATCAAGAGATTTCCATGCTTAGTTTCGAACATTCACTCAAAAGCAAAATGTTTTCCCAGGATACTCTCATTTTAGGGATACATACTTCACACACAGAACAGCGTGAAGTCAGTCGTCACAAGAAACTGAACAAACTGAGACAGACTAAATCCAGAAGAACTGTGGCAATGACTCCAAGATGTTTCAAGAAAAGAAACCTACCTGGAAAGCTACCTGAAAAACTGTGCGCAAGTGCACCATACACAAATATGCAACAAATCGTCAAAAATTGTGCAGGGCTTTTACTGTGAGGTTGATTTACAACCTGAGAGGGATGAATTCTCTTTAGAGTTCTCTCTCTGCGCGCATGTGTGTGTAAGAGACTGAGTGAGTGAAAAATAATGCACGGTGCCGACCGTATTTATGTGAATACACACCAGTGCAGGCATTTTTTCAACGTTTTTTACCGTTTTAGGCACGCAACCGAAGACAAATCTACTATGCTTGTCCGTGTTCCACTCGGACCTCGCACGCAGAAAACATCCAGTCAGAAGCGGATTGAGTTCTGTTTCGCGGCTTTGAGTTTTTAATACTGTCTGTCTTTTTAATATCAAGAATGGCCCGCTCTTTACTGTCTCATTCATTCACGTTCCTTTATTAATACCACTAACAATCCCACCCGCAGAAAAGCTGCGCGAAAAAAAGCGAAAGTAACCGGTGAAATGTTTCAAACTATAAAACAAAGTATGTTTCAGTCCTGTCAATTTTTTTTTTTTTTTTTTTTTTACATATTTTTACACTTTTTCTGCTGTTCAAAAAAATCTTTATTTTTGCTATTACCACAAAACTACGAATCTGAGTGCAGGAGCTGTACATTACCATAGAAACGTCAATGGTTTCCTCGTGACTCTCGTGAACAGCTCTGAACGCGCACTGAACACGCACTTTGGCCGGTACAGAAAATGTATTATTATTTTACATGTATATGTAGAGCTTATGTAGGCTCTACAACAAAGGAATTGCTGATCTCTAGTGATGTCTAATTTGTGTAATAGATAATTTGTTAGTAAAGGGTGAGAGATCTGGTGATCTCCATAGGTTCCCGACCTCTGACCTAGGGCAAAATATGCTTTAAATGCAAAAGATGGTCACACCAAATGTTGATTTAATTTAGTTAATAGAAGTTAATCAATAAAGAAAATCTATTAATGACATTATTTTTGACGGCATCCTCATTTTACAGCATTTTTACATAAGTGCCTAAAACTTTTAACAGTACTGTAGCTTTGCAGGTATAGGTTTCTTGAAGCATCTTGGAGTCATTGCCACAGTTCTTCTGGATTTAGTCTGTCTCAGTTTCTTCATGTCATTCCAGACAGACTGGATGATGAGGAGATCAGATCTCTGTGTGGAGCACTGGCTGTTGTCAGACTCCTTGTGCAAACAAAAATAAAATCTCACTGGATTATTACAATTAATATAAAAAAAAAAATGAATGTTTGGAAATGTAAACTGATATTTCCTACTGACACACTACAGCAAACGATAGAAATAACTGACTTAAAACCATTTATTAGCTGGTGAAAATACTAGTACTAGAAAAATACTAGAAATGAATATGTTTAGTATACCACCCCTATTAGTCAAACATTTTTTATTTTATATATATATATATATATATATATTTTATACCCTCATTGGGGGCTGAGCCCCCCTAAAATGAAAATCCTAGAATCGCCCCTGGCCACCACTGTAGGTTTGGAACAGCATGGGTGTGAGTAAATGATGTTACAGTTTTTATTTTAAGATTTTTACATGAGATTTGAAGATAAAAAATATATAAAAACTATTTAAAAAAAAAATAGCTCATGCTGCACAGAAACGTATTTCTTGAAAAGCTCTTCACCTTATCTAAAACACATCTGCTTCTTGTGTCAGTC